TTGTATGTCATTAAAATGTATATATTCAGTATCGAATGAAATGTAAAGTAGGTTTAAAAAGATGCAGTCGCGTCGCTGCGCTGTTTGGATTTGCTACGACAAACATCGATTTTACTTGCATCTTAAAAAGGGGATTTGTGGAATTACCATGAAACGCAAGGATTATTTAGCAAATATCTTTATTTCTCCTTAGGTGCACAATAATGAATATTGTAAAATATTTGAAAATTTAACCACCTATGCAGTATTACATAAGCTTCGGGAAAAGTGTTAGCGTCCATTTTACTAAAGCAGCAACGTGGAAAAGTATATTATATCAAAGGTGTGATTGATATTATTACAGACAGGATAGTATTCGTGATAAGTATGCTACAGAGACTTTCGGATTCTGTAGCAGTATTAGGATATATAGCAAGGAGTTAGAGAAGCCTCAAATATAAGATGGAAATGATAGTGACAGGAGAAACTTGGAATGGGAATGAGTAAAAATAAAACACAAATAGGTATTGATATCTAAGGAAGAGTTGAAAATAGGATTAGAGCTAATATATCAACTGGAAGAAGTCGCTGATTTTCAATATTTATGAAGTCACATAATAATTCATGACGGAAAGAGAGGTTGGGATAGTAATTAGCACTTCTGTGCTCGCGAATAGTTATTTGCATATCGAAAAAGAGATTATTAAAAATGTCTTTGAAGTACCATCTTAAATTCTCTGATGACCACGTTTGAATTCTGCCTCCTAATCAGAAATAACAAAGCTTTACACTTGAATATAATGAGCGGGAAGGAATAAGTTAATTTTATATCTATATGTGAAGCTAAAACTTTTTTGAAAATACCTATTAATAATTACATTTGTCATTATGACTATGATTACTTGAATGATATATTAGTGGATTACGAAGAGTGAGTATTGATTACCTGCACGGAACATATCAAAATTATAAAACATACTTATTAGTACAAATCGACATTTTCGCCGTTCCGTGGATTAACGGATGATGCGGAAATCGATTAAACACATAAAGTTGCTTAAAAAGTGCCGATCATTATCTGCCATCAATCATCCAATGAAAAAGTACAACTTTTACACAGAAATATCAATTGTTTTCTGTAATAGATTATGGATTGGCACCGACCCAGGCCCTAAACAATTTGTCATGAATTATCTCAACCACGATAAAAACATTCAATTAATAAACCTATACAGTGGCTTCTTTGTTGCCGTCAAAAAATTAACCCAAAAAATAACAAATAAGGGAGCGTCAATGACGTAGGCTCTTTGTTTGAAATCCTTTTGTTATCTTACGTTTATAATCACCTTCCTGTCATGTACGTTTTATTTTAACGAATGCGTGATAATGGTATTGAACCTGAATGTAACAGCGTGGGTACCCCTTTTAAACCAAATAACAGAAGTGGGGAAGTCAATAGGAAATAGGCGAGATAGGTTAGTAGGACACCTTCTCAAACATAAAGGTTTAGTCAGAGACATATTAGTGGCAGAAACAGGAGTTAGGAGGGGTAGACATAGGCCTAGATTAGATTACTGTTCGCAAATAGTTAAGGATGTTGGTTGTTCTAATTTTAGGGAAATGCGAAGATTAGCTCAGGATAGGAAAAAGTGGAGGTGCGTGTCCAACCAGTCTTAGGACTGACGACCTTATGAGGATGATGAACAGAAATATTTGAATTTTATTAATATGATTTTTATTTTGTATCATTGATGAATAATTTTCTACATACGACAACAGATAGCAAGTATTTTATAGCGTTCAATGAAAACAATATTTTATATCACTTATTGCCAAATATTTTATGCAAATGAAATCGTTTTGTTCAACTTTATTTATATACTAGGGTCCATTTAGTAGATATTATTGTGGCAGAAAAATAAAAACTTAAAATTTACCAAAATACCTAGTATATGCACAGATAAGACATGTTAGGTTCTGACCAGTGGTCGGCAAATTGGGACTCGTGAGCCATTCCTTTACCTACTCGGTTTTTCAAACAACAGAAACTCATATCATGAAAAACATAAGGTTTCCTGAAATCGAACTAACGTAAAGAACTATATACACCACAATTTTACCTTCTAAAATTTTTCTACCTTCTAAAAATTGATGAATCCTTTAACCCGAAGAGCATACCAATTTCTTTATTGAATATCCAGGGTGTAAAATAGCGATTATTGACTATAATCCTCATTAATAATAATTGATATCTACAAGGGTTAACATTCATTTGTTTGTACTGTTAGATAGGTATGTACATATAGAAGGTACGATTCGGTTATCGCAATTATGAAAATCACATTACAACTGCAGTTTACTTGATAAACTGGCCTGAGTACTATTGGATATTCATGTTCTTTGAATAATACAATCGAAATGGCCTATTACGTATTCAAATGAGTTTACACTACTATACCTATATATGCGCACGTTTCATCCATTTTCCTAGCATATTTCCTACATTCAGCGTGTAACCATTGTAGATAGGTATATTAGGTATATAATGTAAATATACATAAGACAGTTCGGCGTTAATATTACTTCTTAAGTTTTCCCATCAGTTAGAAGAGCGAAATTAGCAAGGAAAATTGTATTGGTAACTAGGGTGAAGTTTTCTTTTTGATCTA